GGAAAGAGCATGAATTACATTCTATTGGAGAGTCTGAACCCTTGGAAAGCTGATAATTTGTCATTATCTTAGAACCCTTAGTACCCAACTGGTGCTGATAAGCCTTCAATGACATATTTATTGAATGAATAAATCAGTTCTAAGTACAGGGATTATGAGAAAAGATAACATGTTGGCAGTCTTGGGGGTGGGGAACATTAGTTCGGGGAGCCTTTGATCTTGAGGAGCAAAGCAGTTTTGATCCACCCTTCACTCCCCACAGGCTTTAATCACCTTTGATAGGACTTCCTGGGACTAACAGCCTCTCTACTTTTTTGAAGTTAAATGGGCTTAGGAGTAAAGTAAAAAGATTAACTATATTTTGGAGTAAAAGCTAAAGTGTCCGACTTCCCATTCAACAGTGTCTGAGAAGGTATCTTCTTTCCATGCGACTTAACTCTGTCACTTTATAATCTTAATGTCACATGTTACATAATCTTATTTGTCACAATGAGTTCATAATCTTATTAATCAGTATCTTAAGAAAATAAGAAAACCAACCTTCCACATCATCAGGGCTCCCATCATGTAAGGACTAAACACAGTCAGAAAGCAATAGACAGAGGCAAGGTCAAAGCTAAGGAATCAACAAAAAGAAAAAGGAGTTTAGAGTTCACATTGTAACTTTAAAAGAACGTTCTTCTAAAAAGCATGTTTAAACTAATTTTCTGAAATCTACTCTTACTAAAGCACAAGTATACATTGTCTCAAGAACTATTACAAAATCAGTAAAACGAATGAGATAGACTTGTATGTGCCCATACATACCAATTTTCAAAATGCATCTTTCAGTGTAAAAAGCAAGGTACAGAACAAAATCCCTACTTGTATTATTTTCTGGTTATACATATGCTGTTTTTATTTTAAATTACCTGTTAATAGAAGCTATATTCCCAGTTCCAAAAAAGGCTGTCATTAAGAAGAAAACCTAAATAGAGTTAAGGAAATGCCAAAACAAGTCAGAATTCATAAAAGTTCTTTTTCATTGAGAGAAGATATACCTATTCTACCATGAGGGTAATTTGCTTTTCTACTTGTACATTTGATTATAAATTGTTGTAAATGAGTGTTCCATTGTATCTCCTTGTGAATGAATTTGGAAAGAACTAGACTGAACAAGCAATGTACAAAGAACAACGAGGCCTGGGAGGTCATCCTTGTCATTAGTAACCTTGGGAAGGTTACTATTTTCCTCGCTTCTGACATAAACAGTGGGATTACTGTTAGTTGTAGTTGGCTGCTAATGATTAAAAAAAAAAGCGATACACATTTTCAGCTGAAATACGACAATTTCATTTCATACATGCTGGCTGTGTACCCACTACACGTGAAACGTGCCAGGTTCTTTGAAAGGCTTAGGAAGAAATAAGATTATCATGTTTTAAAATAATTCAATAGAGAATGAGAACATCTTTTTGACATTTCTTAAACTTACATTTGTAAAAGTGCAGTAATAAAAAGTAGGTATTAATTATATTGGGGTCTAAGAACTTACTGCTAGTAAAGTATTTAAAATAGTGCCTGGCCCACTGAAAGGGCTCGATAAATGTTAGTTACTTTATTATCATAAACACATACACAAAAATTGTACAGAAACACTAAAAAGGAAGTATGAATCAAGACAAATTTCAGTGAAAAAGCAGCATTTGCGTTGGTAACTTGAGCCTTAAATATATTCATTGTTCCATGCATTCAACCGGTCAACTAATCAACCAAGATTTATCATCTAGTACATGTCAGAGGCAGAGCTAGGCACTAAGAATATAAATATAAATAAAATAGTTTAAAGTGCTCATATGGTGACTAAGATTATGATGATATGTAGAAATATATAAGATGAATTTAAAGGTAAACAGTGGGAAATAAATGATGTAGTCAAGGACTTCCCTAGCGATCCAGTGGTTAAGACTCCATGCTTCCAACGCAGGGGGTGCAGGGTTCAATCCCTGGTCAGGGAACTAAGATCCCACATGCCACCCAGTGCAGACAAAAGAAAAAAATAAATTAAATGATGTAGTCAAGAAACAGTAAGCAGGTGTGATAGAAGCTGAGGGTTTATTGAAGGGTACAGTGAAAGATGAAGCAAGAAATGTAGATTGGTGGCATATTAATAAAAAACCTTGAACTTTATTGTGGAGACAATGAAGAGCTGGCAAGAATTTTAGTTGAGTAATATAAATAAGAAATACCAATAACAGTGAGATATTTGGATCAGGGATACAAATAATTAGAGGCAGGAAATTCAGTTAGGAAGCTATCTCAGTAGTCTATGTTGGGGACAAGGAAAGTCTGAATCAGTGTGGTTAGAGTGGAAATGGAGAAGGAGGGGAGACCATAGAACTTTAAAACTGGACAGGGAGTTGTTAAATATGACAAGTTTGATGCCCTGGGTAGCTGGGAGCATGGCGATGCCATTAAATGAGATGAGACCTGGCAGAGAGTGATTTTGGAGAGGGGTGGGCAGTCATTAGTCAGTGTGGACATATATCTGGTGATGCCCAGCAGGATGTTGGACATATGACTCTTAAGGTCAGAGAGGTCAGGGCTGGAGAATTAGATCTTAGAGTTGTTTGTACACAGGTGTCAGTCAAAGCTATAGGAGAGGATGACATTACCCAGGCACAATTAGAGGAGAAGATTAATGATAGAGCTTGGAGAAAAACATACATGGTTCAAGAGCAAAGGAAGAGCAAGTTTCCATGAAGGAGAATAGAGATGGTGTAAAAAGCTGAGAAGAGAACCTGGATCATGTTCTGGATGTCAAGGGAAAAGAAAGAGAAAAATCAATTGAGTTGAATGTTGTAAGAGTGGTCAAGTAAAACTGAACAGATGAGACTGTGCAATCAGGAAGGCCCTGCAGACCACGAGAGGACAACTTCAGCAGAGACATTTGACAAATATTGGAGAGGTACTATGTGCCAGGCACTGGTCAAGGCTTGAGGATATAGTACATAAATGGGGAGGAAATGGTAGCAGCAAGGAGCTTGGTAGTAGACACAAAGGACAAGATGAAATTATAATATAGGGAGTTGCAGGGTTCAAAGGAAGAAGTGTTTTATTAGTATAGGCTGAGTGGAAGGAATCTGCAAAGACAGAAAGCAAAATTGAGAGTCAAGGCAAGAGGTAGAGGACAGAATAAGAACATTTATTTTCTGGACCTATAAGGTAAGTTCAAAGGAAATATCTCCCTATGAGTTTTTTCAACCCAGTCAGCCAGCCTTCCCAAAGTGAGACTTTATTCTGTCACATTGTCTTACAAAATTCTAATACAAATAACTTTCACACAATATTGCCTCTGATGTGATCCAAAAGCCTTGTGGGACAGATGTTATGTAACATGAGTATAGTATAAAATACACATAAAAAGATACAAACCTAACTCATAATAGTGGTTTCTTCTGGATGAGGGAAATTAGTTTGGAGTTGGAAGTTGAAAGGAGACTGTCTTTAGCTGTAATATTTTAATTTTTTAAAATGTGTGACATATGTGACAAAATATTAGTTGTTGATACCTCCTTGGATGGCAGGAATACACATATATACATTTGTTTGTTATATCATTCTTTATGCTTTTCTATAGTTTCAGAATTTTTTTGAAGTGTAAACTATATGAGAAAATTATGGTTGGGAGGGCGGTTAAATGGCCTCCAAGGTAATACCACTACCAAATGACAGGCAGAAACCCCTTCCACTTCTTACTCCATTAAATGGGAGGTTGCAGTGCCTTAAAACAGAAGTCCATAAAAAGGATACAAGGAAAAAGGCCCTACGGATGTCATCCAGATAGAGGTCTCGAAACTGGGTTATATCAGTATTATAGATGAATTGGATACTGGAGACCTGTGAAATAAGAAGAAATTTATAAATGCACAATAACAGTTTGCTTACTTCTACCCTCAAAAGCAAGCTTACCGTCAAAGTTACAATAGCTAGAAAGATAACTTGTACTGACAAGAAAACAAAAACAAATAAATCTTTTCCTACAGCTTAATTTCACCTTAATAACATCTGCCGAAAGGTAAAATATACTGTTAATAATATACTGAACAGAGTTGTAGTATTGCCATATGTGTAATAAAAGTGAGAATTGGGCTTTTTATTATCCTGTATAAATGCTTCACTTTTAAATCCCTATATAATTTTTCCCTTTTCTGACTTCTGATTTCTCTGATTTCTCAAACTCAAGTATGGTATGATATTAAAAAGCATGATAAATTAAATATTTCCAGAGAAATTATTTTCTCTCTATAAAAAAGCAATATATTTCTGTCCTGGTAAAATAAAAAGCCTCTCAGTTCCAACATGATGGATGCACTCTTGCTTAATCCCCCTTTTTCCACAAAAGAAAAACTCATGGATAAGTTTAAATGGAGACTTTCCCTATCTCCCACTTCCCATGTAATTTTCTGTTAAGTTCTTGGGATGCTTTAATCCTCTTTTCTAGAAAAAGACATATCTCCTTTCAGTTAAAATATAGAATTTAGGGCTTCCCTGGTGGCGCAGTGGTTGAGAGTCCGCCTGCTGATGCAGGGGACACAGGTTTGTGCCCCAGTCTGGGAAGATCCCACATGCCGCGGAGTGGCTGGTCCCGTGAGCCATGGCCGCTAAGCCTGCGCATCTGGAGCCTGTGCTCCGCAACGGGAGAGGCCACAACAGTGAGAGGCCCACGGGAGAGGCCACAACAGTGAGAGGTCCGTGTACCGCAAAAAAAAAAAAAGAATTTAAAAAATAATAAAATAAACCTCATTTTTAATTTAATAATATTTATTAAAATTTTGAATATTTAATACTAAGGACAGTCTGACCATTTACTTGAATCTGATCAAAACTTCTTTTCATGTATTGTTTTAATATTCCAGGACTGAAAGTTAAAAACCAGTAATTACTCAATATACTTCAATAAAGTTTCTTCTTTATTGAAACTGTTTATTCTAAAACATCAAGTACTCTTTGTGAACTCAACTAGAACCAGTTAAGGACGAATCAATGGATCAACTATGAAGGTATTTTCCTACAATATTTCTTTTATCTGACCTCAGTAAAATTGTAAATATTTTATCACCAATTTCTTATAATTATCTTCAGTTCTGAAATAAAGGCAAGAGACATCAATTAGCTCTCTAGCTCAGCATGATAAAGGTGTCCTTAATAACTGGTTGGCTTTTAGCCAATTCAAAGTATATTATGTTGAATAAACAGTCTAAGATTTGGACTGAGGCCATGATCACTAAGGTGACAGAATAAGCATTTTGGATTAGAATGACTAGAAAGAGAAAAATAACACTGGAACACAAATGTCACTTTATGATCAAATTCATAAATTGAAGTGTGACAACATGAATATCTTTCCAACGAAAATAAATTGAAGGAAAGAAAAATTAGATGTGAAAACAAAGGCAAACAAGATAAAGAACATTCTTTCTCCAGTATTCTTTCACCTATATTAATGTTTTTTTTGCATCAGAGATTCTCAAATAATCTCTAAGAAAAGCCCAACCCAGATAATGCCCATGAAACAATAAAATCATGCTTTTCTGTTGTAAGTGAAAATTTCCTTACAAACTGTTTGACTTAATTATTAACTTAATTATTAATGCCTTAAGTACTGTAAATTTTTAAGTAGAATTTTTGATGAAGTAACATTGCAACCTCCTTATAGGATAGAGAATATTCTAATATTCTTAAATAAATGCAAGAATGATTTTGACAAGCTACCTTCTGTTTACAGAAAACAACAGATTGTGGCAGGGTTTCTTGTTCCATGTGTATCCAGACAAACATCAAACATGACAATACTAACGGGAAGAGAGCTTCATACCTAAGGGGTGGGGGGTGTGAGGTGGAAGTGGGAGGGTAGAAAAGAAAAAAACATTAAACGAATAAAAATGCAAATTTATCATACTAATAGGTCTTTCTCAAAATTAAAACAATTTTGATAATACTTCTAAGTTACAATATCACAAAATTTAAATTTTTTACTTTCCAGAAGAAGAAAATAGGAAAGGAAAGTAACATTTAAATATCAACTCTAACACCATCTTTTGAAATCTATCAGATCTTGAGATCATTACATGCTTAAAATAGTAGAGATATTTAAAATTCATTCATGAGGTAAATGACACAAATACACAAAAAAGAAAGAAAGCATAAAACAAAGGTAAAAAGACAATTCCTGAGTTAAAATGATTAATATACAGAGAAGAGCAAGACAAACATCCCAAATTTTTTAAAAAATGGGTGCAATACGGGAATATAAACCTCTCAAAAAGAAAAAAAAGAGCCAGTAAATCCATAAAAATGTCTGACCATATTGATAACTGATACAGAAATTATAAAATAGATGCCATAGTCACTTATAATATTTACCCATATTAAAAAAATGTCAACAAGAGTATAATGAAAAAGGAACTCTCATACTCTCTACATAGGAATAAACACTTCCTGGAAGGCAATCTAATACTATGCATCAAGAATCTAAAAAATATTCATATAGTATAATCTAACAATGTCACTTCTAGGAATTCACCCTGAGAAAATAATCAGACATATACACTATGATTCCCATCTGAAGATGTTTGTTACAATATTGTTTACAGAACAGAAAAACAAGAAAACAACTTAATATCCACAGGGGAGTTTAGTTAAATAATGTATGCTACATCTTTAGGCTGGCGTACAATGTGGACATTATAATGTGGATAAAGGAGAAACGTTCATGAGATAATGCAGTGACAGATGCTTTTCCTAACCCTTTTCTGCCCTAGTTTAAGATAAGTGTTTCACCTTTGTAATCCCCAAAATACTCTACATATGATAGTAGTTATCACACTATTTTAATCACATGTTTACTAATATGCATTCCCCACTAGTTTGGAAAATCTTTGACTGGGTCAGTCTTGTCACCACTACAGGCTCCCTCATAATAAGTATTTGTTGATTGGAAGTTGCAAAACAAAATCAAGCAAACCAAATTAAAACAAAAAAACCTGTATTTCTCTTGCAACTTTTTCAACTACTGAACTCTATTCCATATTGCGCTATTTCCTAAACACGAGAAAACAAAAGAAACAAAATGCTTTAAACTCTAACACTGATCATAAAACTAAAACACCGAAGATCAGGCAGAAGAAAACATTCAGGTTTGAGAAAGCATACACAAATCACTTGGTATATAAGATTTAGGACGCCCCAGGATATGAACAGACAACACATATGTGAGAAAATATTATTAGTAAAACAAGTGCAGAAAAATGTATCGACACAAAGCTGCACTATTTTTGGCCTACTAAAATAGCATTTGATATTCTTATTTAAAAATGAAAATACCAAATACTGTGAAGGATATGATGAAGTAGGTCCCCTTATAGGTTGTTGGTAATATTATAAGCTGGCACTGTTCTTAAGACCAAAGTAAAAAAAAATTCATATTTTATGGCCCACCTACACTACAACTGAGAAGTGAAAAAAGGAAATAATCTAACTATATAAAAGGCTTATGCATAAAAACATAAAACATTATTTATGATAATAAAAACTGTAAATAAAGTGACCAAAAAATACAGGAAAGATCAAGGTGCAGCCATGTCATAGAATATTAAAAATCTATTAAAATGATGGTTAGGAGCTTCCCTGGTGGCGCAGTGGTTGAGAGTCCACCTGCCAATGCAGGGGACACGGGTTCGTGGCCCGGTCTGGGAGGATCCCACATGCCGCGGAGCAGCTAGACCCGCGAGCCCTGGCCGCTGAGCCTGTGAGTCCGGAGCCTGTGCTCCGCAACGGGAGAGGCCACAACAGTGAGAGGCCCGTGTACCGCAAAAAAAAAAAAAAAAGATGGTTAGGAAGCCTATAAGCCAACTAGGAAAATGCTTCTAAAATAAAGTAGAGGGACTTCCCTGGTGACGCATTGGTTAAGAATCTGCCTGCCAATGCAGGGGACACGGGTTCGATCCCTGGTCCGGGAAGATCCCACATGCCAGGGAGCAGCTAAGCCTGCGTGCCACAACTACTGAAGCCCATGCCCCTAGAGCCCGTTCGCAACAAGAGAAGCCACCGCAATGAGAAGCCCGAGCACCGCAACGAAGAGTAGTCCCCGCTCAATACAACTAGAGAAAGTCCGCATGCAGCAGCAAAGACCCAACACAACCATAAATAAAATAAAAATTTTAAAACATTAAAAATAAAATACAGCAAAGTAGAAAATAAAGATATAAAATAGTACATGGACTATGATTAATACTGTGTTAAAAAGATAAATACAGAGCTAAGACTGGAAGGAAATATGTCAGAACATCAATAGGAGGGGTAGGGTTAATAGATGATTTTTCTTCCTTATTCCTACTCTTCAAAATGTGATTATACTATGTTTACAATGAATAAAAAAAAATTGAAAAAGAAAGAATTAGAATGTCTGTATCCTAGCCATTCTTGAAAATTTAGTTCAATTTCTACATGAGTCCTTGATGGCACCAGTTCAGCTCCCTTACCCAAACCCTGTCTCTAGTCATTCTTTATATCACACAATTCACAACTTAAATTATGATAACTTAATTGTTGCATTTTGTAATTGCCTAACATTGTAAAATAGAGTACATATTTTATAGCAGCTTACAACTCTATTATACACCTGGGGTACACTAATTGTTCTAACTGTATGTCTGTCTAGTGTTCAAGACACTAGAAATGTGAGCAAAAACTTGACTAATTGAATCAAGAAAGTGTACTCTCTGAGCAAAAAACAAAGAAAAAAACCCATGATTTTAAAAATATTTGCACTTATATATGAAATTATTCTTTCCTAATATGTAAAAACATAAATTCCATAGTTCTACAAATAGTGCTACAGATTTACTTCTTTTCAAAAACTATAAAATAAAATTTTTGTAAAATGTAGATGAATAAATCTGATAAAGACGATCTTCTTATGGGACTTTATTTCTTTAGAGAACCAATATCTCATATAAAGTCTGTATATCTGAATTAATAAACTGAAATACCAATGAAATGCCATCATGGGCTCAGAGTGTACATAATAAAACCTTTCTAAATTAGGATCTGCTAGTTTGGTCTCTGTGCAAATTGAACAGGGCTGAAAAGACATTTAGTTTGTATTATACTTTGTTAAGCAAAGGGATAATATAATCAAAATTTTGGATGAAAATGTTTAACCAACTAAAGAGAACTATTTTCAAGTATTATAATAGCGTCCATCTGCATAAAAATAATTAAATGCTGATTAAAAATAAATCTTCTTTATTCATTTAATCAAGGGTGCATTGTTAGAAGTAGGATTGCTATTACTGTACTTTTGTAAAGTAATGAAACTGCATTTCCTTTAAATATCCTATAATTCTGACTATTCACTTATTTACATGGAGAACCCTCCAGGTCGTCCAAAAATAGTGACGTGGAATGATAACAGGTGGACTATGTTTTGCAAAACTGATTTGACACTGAAAAATGTACTAACTGAAATTATTAGACTGGTTTTTCAGGCTACTTCTGTCTAATTTTTTTTTGCAACAGTGAATATACTTTCTGATGTTGGGTAATATATTTCTTAATACATTCATTAATAAGGTCATACTTATTCTGATTTTAGGAGTGATTTTTCACTTTTTAGATTTCTTAAATTAAATGTGCTTAAATGTGCACAATGGTAAATCCCTAGGTTTATTCTAATTGGGATAAAGATCCTATATTTGGACCAAATTTTGAAACTGTCTGAGTGGTGGTTATTCGATTTGTCTGCTCTATTCAGTGTTTATTATAAAGTGCATATTTCTCACCCTCATGAAGATTTAAGTAAAGATGAAATAAAATTCAAAAGCAAGTGAAGAACTCTTTTCTTCAAAGTAGATGGGAGAGTATGTCATTGTTCTCACTGATTTCTAGAGAATGCTTCAGAACCCAACCCAAATCAAGCTGTTCTTTTTTGGTTTTGTTTTACAAGAAAATTTTAATCTTCAATGAAAATGTTTAACTTTTTAACAGTTTACCTTTTGGGAAAATATTCTAAAAGGTTTCTGAATCAAAAGGAATATCTGGACTATGACATATGTAAGAGTAAAAATAAAATATTATACTTAAAGAAGAATGAACAAATCAAAACATAATTTAAAGCGCATGAAAGGAATGCAACAAAGACTAAAATTCTTATAAGTCATTGTTTGAGACTTAAAATTCCTCCACAATCTGTCAGAACTCTCTAACACTGTAGGTAAGCAATATTTAAGCAACTTCAGGAAATAAACAGAAACACAAAGACTACAGGCAATACTATGAACATGATAAGAAAAAGAAAACTGAAGATTACAGATCAAGTCACATACAGTTTTTACAGAGGAAAAATACTTATAATTTATTCCTCAAGATTCACGTATTTTTCATTTCCAGAGGTTAAATACTCAGAGAAATGTCAATATGTCATTTAAAACTTGCTACTAAAAATTAAAATTTAAAAACAGTTTATACCCCGTGCTTAGAAGTAGGTAGGTCGACATTGAGGAAACAAGAATGCTAAACAGCCGATCAAAGAGAATCAGAGGACTCAGTAGAGGCACGATGAAGGAAGAGGCTGCAATAAAACAAATGTGGGTAGTGTTAGTACAAGTGACACAGGGTATGTTGAGTTTAAAGCACTGAATACTTTATTATCATTTATAGCATTTATTATTTGTGTGACATTTAAAATGAAGCCACATTTGCCCTACTCGTTTTTGTAAGAAATTTGAAACTTCACATTTTTATTTAAAATTACATTTCACCATTTTAACCACAATTTAGTTCAGATTTTCCCAATTTATATTCAGCCTTGCTCACTGTAATAACTCTTAATAAATAATTTGTCATTTTCTAATGTAAATAATAAAAAAAAATTACTCAAGATTCAGAAACTTTTCTCCTAATTAAACATTTAGTTCAAAGACAACTTACTCCCCAGAAATTGATTTTTCCTAAATACTCCCTCCTCCAAGTTTTCCCACTGCAAAGTACGCATTGAGAGTTGTAGTGTGCCAGTTAGAAAATTAGAGACAGGAGACAAGGACTTCACCGCACATGACAGCTTTAATAAGAGTAATCCAAGCAAGTGAAGCAATCTTTCTTCTCAGGATTAGAAAGCAACTACTTCAGTGGGAGAAGAGCAAATAAGTTGGGGGAGGGGTGGGTAGCAAAACATAAACTCCCCAATCTTTATTTTGGAAAGAAAATGTGCATAATTTCCTAATCCTCCTGGCTAGGATGGCAATATGCGTGGAATGAAATGCTCTAAAGTATGAAGACAGATAACTTGGGAGGGCATCCTGGCTGAATTACTTATAACTCTTTAACCATGAGGCAAGTTTGTTAATCTATCTAAGCAGTATTTCCATCTGTTAAGTAGAAATGAATAAAGTTGTTGTGAGGTTTAAATACAATTTCACCTATAAAATGCTCCTTGAACATAGTGCCTGAGATACAGTAAGTGCTTAATAACTGCTAGGTGCTATTATTACTGCTAGTCAACATCTACTAAGAAGTTAAATGTAAAGACAATCTCATTCAAAGTTGAGTCACTGCAAGATTTAAGATTATGTAAGTTATATTTACAGTAGTCTTAAAGGAATCACTTCTGATTTTTTTTCAGATGTGTAATTCCAGTAACGTTATCATCATCTGGTACATATTTTAACAGAAAGAAATAGTATTTTAATATTTATTTAAAAAGCCAGTTCAAATGAGACCTGTTTTACCAACCTGTATTTTCTGTATTTGTTTGACTTTTGTGTAAAGGATTGATAAGATGCTAAAAGGGAAATAAGAGTCCCCATCCTGAGTGACATAAGTTAGAACCAGTTGCATAACATATAACCCATTTAGGTATCCCAGCACATTAGCAAAAAATGTTCACTGGAGCTAGACTACAGTGAATTAGTGCCTGGAAGATACCTCTGGAGATACTGCTGACCTACCTATGAGTCAACTATTTCATGCCTTGCACCATATGGTAGGCATCCTCTAGTACCTATGCTTTCCTAATCCCAAGGAGGAAATGTCTTGTTTAAAATATATGTCCAGCCTATAAGAGACTCACTTCAGATTTAAGGACACACATAGGCTCAAAGTGAAGGAATGGAAAAGATATTCTATACAAGTAGAAACCAAAAGAAAGTGAAGGGTAACTATAGCTATATCAAACAAAATAGACTTTAAGCCAAAAAATGTTAACAACAGACAAATAAGGTCATTACATAATGATAAAGGGGTCAGCTGATCAGGTAGATATAACAACTGTAAAAATATATGCACCCAACATCAGAGCCCCTAAATATATTAAGCAAATACTAATAGATCTGAAGGGAGAAATAGACAAGAATACAACAATAATAGGAGACCTCAATATTCCACTTTCAGAAAGGGATAGATCATCCAGAGAGAAAATCAACAAGGAAACATTAGACTTGAACCATACATTAGACCAAATGGATCTAACAAAAATTTATATAACATTCCAACTAGTAGCAGCAGAACACATTCTGTGCATGGAACATTCTCCAGGATAGATCATATAATAGATCACAAAACAAATTTAATAAGACTGAAATCATTTCAAGTATCTTTACTGACTATAATGGTATAAAACTAGAAATTACAACAAGAGAAAGCTGAAAAATCTACAAATATGTGGAAATTAAACAACATACTCCTGAACAACTAATGGATCAAAAAAGAAATTAAAAGGGAAATAAAAAGATATTTCAACAAATGAAAATGGAAACACAACTTACTAAAACCTATGGGATGCTAATGTTAATCATATACACTAGTGCACAAGGAAAATATCAGTAGGGCCTATAAGGTAAAAATAATACAAAAAATACTCTCAGACACAATGTAATAAAACTAGAAATTAAAGATAAAGCAAAAATTAATGAGGTAGTGAACAGAAAAACAGTAGATCAAATTAGTAAATCAAAATCCATGTTTTTTGAGAAAATAAACAAAAAGGACAAACCACTAGCTAAGTTAATCAAAGAAAAGGAAGAAAGTGCAAATACACAAAATAAATTATGAGGGAAATGACTAATGATACAGAAGGAATTTTTTAAAATCATAAGAGATTACTTTGCATCCCTCTATATGAATAAATTTGAAAATCTAGAAGAAACAGAAAATTCCTTAAGCAAATATAGCTTTCCAAACTAACCGCAGTAGAGATAAAAAGCTTAAACAGACCAATTTCATAGAGAAATACAAAGTTATCAGGGGACTACCCAACAAAAAAGGACTAAATTCAGATAGTTTCACAGGGGAATTCTTTCAGGACTTTACAGAACAGATAGTCCCAGTGCTACATAAATTGTTTCAGAGTACAGAAATTAAAGAGAAACAATTCTTTTTATGTAGCAAATATAACATTGATAACTAAGCCTGATAAATTTAGAACACCAAAGAAAATTAAAGAACAATATCATTTATGAATACTGATGGAAAAATAGTAGCAAATGAACTCCAACACTACATTGAGAAAATAATACGTTATAATCAAATGTGTCTTAGGAGTTTATATCAGAAATGCAAGAATGGCTCAATACTGGAAATCTATTAGTATTATTCACCATATTAACAGGTCTAGGGGAAAAAAAACATATTATTATCTCCATAGATGTTTAAAATGTCTTTGATAAAATTCAACATCCATTCTTAATAAAAACCCTAAATAAAACAGGAGAGCATGTACTTTCTTTAACATGATAAATATATATACCTCAGTCCTAAAGCCAGCATTTGTCTTAAATGGGGGGACTCCAGAGACACTCCCACTAAGATCAGGAAAAAAATCAAGGAGGTTCACTATCTCTACTATTTAACATTGTTCTGTAGGTATTAGCCAATGCGAGTAAATGAAAGAAAAGAGAGGAATAAGAACAGGAAGGGGGAAATACATATCTGTATTTGTAAATTACATGAGGGTATTCTTGGAAAATTCTACTTAGAGAGTCAATGATAAACCTAACTCAAGAAAGGAAAATTCAGTAAAGAAGTAGGATATAAAATTAACATGCAAAAATCAATAGCATCTTATACTCAAAAAAAAAAAAATTAGAAGATACAATGAATGAGAAAAGCTCATTTATAATAGCAACAAAAAAGATAAAATACTTAGGAATATATTTAACAGGAAATATTCACAGCCTATATGAAGAAAACTATGAAGACTGCTTTTAAAGGCACAGAGGTAGACTTGAACAAGTGAAAGAACATCCCTTGTTCTTGGTTAGAATGTCTCAGCATAACTTATGGGTAAAATATAAGTTTTCCCAGAGTTAATTGGCTATATTCTTCAAAAATGTCAATGTCATAAAAGACAAAGGGAAAATACCATAAAGGATATTATTAAGTCAACTGAAAAATTAATATAAGGATGTTAGAATAGATAAAAATATTGAATATGATGTTTAAAAAATTTTATACATACATACACTCATAATCACAGATGGACAAGAACATGAAGTAGAGGATGACTTTCTATAATTCTGGGAAATTTCTCTTTTTTTAACCTTTTTAGACGTTTCAGATGTTTAAAAATGAGATACAATAATATGAACACAAAGTCTGTTTTCTTTGCTTCTCTTCGTCATGTGGTTTATCCCTAGGTGATATATTGTTTATATGCTGGTGTGTGTTATATACACCGCATATTTTTGAAGTTATGCAGGAAAATAAAAAGACTTCCCTTTAATGTCATCATTGCCATTCATAATTTTTGATTTTTCTGTGGATTTGAAAACTAACATGTCATATGAGAGACAATTACATATAGATACCCCGCTAGATTACTAGCCCCACCACCCAGCCCTGCAGAATATAAGCTCCAGGAGGGCAGGGACTTGTTCCATACTTATTATTCTCAGAGAACAGAATAGTGCCAGAACATAGTACAAACTAAACACATTTATTTTTTAAATGAAAGAGCAGTCTCTGCTATTGTCATGCAGAATTAATGTAAATAGTAACTTTAGTAATCAAGATAATTTAAAAGGGAAGGCCTACATAATGCCCATAATGAAATGAAGTTTACACAGTGAAAATAAAGTTATATATACAAGAACACTTATTGTCCAAGAATAACTTCCATTTATACAATGACCAAGGTGTTTAGAAAATGAGCAAATCAAAACTTTAGGAGATACATGTCTGTTTCCTGTTGTATTTTTAAGCCTCTGCTTGGATTTTAAGAGCAATCCAAGGACAAACACTCCTATCCCTTAATCGTCTTTTTAAGATAAAGTTCCATCCAAAGATCTTTTTTTTTAATAATGAACAAAAATCATTTCTAAATAAATAAATGTTAAATTGCACATCATATCATTCATAGGCATTATAAACTTTTTTTAAAAGTGAATTTTACTTGGTTTGCTTTACTTCTTTTTTCTTTTAAATTAATTAATTAATTAATTAAATTTTGGCTGTGTTGGGTCTTCGTTTCTGTGCGTGGGCTTTCTCTAGTTGTGGCAAGTGGGGGCCACTCTTCATCGCGGTGCGTGGGCCTCTCACTGTCGCGGCACAAGCTCCAGACACACAGGCTCAGTAGTTGTGGCTCACGGGGCTAGTTGCTCCGTGGCATGTGGGATCTTCCCAGACCAGGGCTCGAACCTGTGTCCCCTGCATTGGCAGGCAGATTCTCAACCACTGCACCACCAGGGAAGCCCACTTTTTCTTTTTTTTTAATGAAAAACCTGGACTTAAAGTTTGCTCCTGTTTTCCAGTTGGAAGGAAAAGGCTAAGTCCTTAAATGACATCTGTTTGCTCCACACGCACATTCTTAAAACAACTATAGAGGAATACGTTTTAAAATGTATAATCAGGGGCCTCCCTGGTGGCGCAGTGGTTGAGAGTCCGCCTGCTGATGCAGGGGATACGGGTTCGTGCCCCGGTCCGGGAGGATCCCACATGCCGCGGAGCGGCTGGGCCCGTGAGCCATGGGCGCTGAGCTTGCGCATCCGGCAACGGGAGAGGCCACGACAGTGAGAGGCCCACATATCGCAAAAAAAAAAAAAAAAAAAAAAAAGTATAATCAGGGGCTTCCCTGGTGGTGCAGTGGTTGAGAGTCCGCCTGCCGATGCAGGGGACACGGGGTCGTGCCCCAGTCCGGGAGGATCCCACATGCCGCGGAGCGGCTGGGCCCGTGAGCCATGGGCGCTGAGCTTGCGCATCCGGCAACGGGAGAGGCCACGACAGTGAGAGGCCCACATATCGCAAAAAAAAAAAAAAAAAAAAAAAAGTATAATCAGGGGCTTCCCTGGTGGTGCAGTGGTTGAGAGTCCGCCTGCCGATGCAGGGGACACGGGGTCGTGCCCCAGTCCGGGAGGATCCCACATGCCGCGGAGCGGCTGGGCCCGTGAGCCATGGCCGCTGACCCTGTGCGTCTGGAGCCTGTGCTCCGCAACGGGAGAGGCCACAACAGTGAGAGGCCCACATACAAAAAAAAAAAAAAAAATGTATAATCAGCTTTATAAAATGTGTAATGTGTTGGGAGGTGACTAATCAATGTTATTTTCAGCAAGGGAAATACAGATAAAATTGAACTGCTTCCTAGTCCCTGTGTAAGAACTGAGAATTTATGAATTGACATGAAATTTCAGCAAAGGAATCTCTTCACAAAACCCTCTTCTCTTCTGGAAGCACTTTTTATCAGGTGCGAATAAATATACAGCTTCATTATCAAGTCATAAATATTCTATCAAGTAATTCTTAATAACACATGAATGCTCACAAAAGTTCTAATTTTCTTTGTCAACTTCCAACAAGAGACAGAAATAATAGCTTGTTATTATTATTTTCCCACAACAAAATTATTTGTTTCAACAGCAATGATACAGATGTAAGTGGATAATTTTAAGATGTAACTTGATGGAAAGTTATCTCATTTGATTTGATTGACCTCTTACCTAATATTATCCAGCTAACAACCTGATTAATAAGAGGCAGTCCTTGTTTCTTGAGTAGACTACTATGAGTGCCATACACAACACACATGGAAAGCACGGTGCTTAGCATCTGAAAACAACAAACATAGAAGACGTAAATAAAAGAGAAGGTGGTGAGTGACTAATTTATATATTAGAAAGAATACTCAGAAAAGTGCTTGAACAACAGGAATCTGGCCAAAATGTTATTGAAATTGGACCAGCTCACCTTCTTGTGGCTAAGACCAACAGTCAGAATTCTTGTACTAAGCAAAAGCCCTCCTTCACAAGCATGAATGAGGTGTTTTACACTTTCAGGAGTATTTTGGCATACATTATCACACTGTTTTTACTTAGAAATATTTGTTATTAATCTTGAAGTTTTCTTAAATCATGGAAGTGCAGAGAGTGAAATGTATATAGCTTGGCATATATGGGTGAGTGTCTTCCACCTCTGGCCCTCACTAACAGTCATATCTATTTATTCATTCAATACATATCTGTGGCCTGAGTTTTCACTGGTACTGGGAATACAAGGAGTACAATATTCTTTAGGGAATATAGACAAACTAGTGTAGAGTTGGTAAACTATTGCTTTTAGAAATATTATTTTATTGGAACATGGTCTCTCTCATTCATTCACATGCTGTCTACAGCTCCCTTTGACCTACAATGGTAAGCTGAAAAGTGACAACAGACTCCATATGCCCCACAAGCCTAAAATATGTACAATCTAGCACGTCAGAAAAATGTTTGCCGACCCCTGAATTAGCAGATTAATAGCCAGTTTAAGAGATGAGCTAAATTATGGCTATGAACAAAGTAAACTCTCTTAAAGATCAGATTAGCAACCTGACCACCAAATCCTAGAGATACATTTAATTTACTCATATTTTCAGTGAATTAAGAAGGAAAAATTGCTGTCAATAAATCTATGACACAATTCTAGGATCCTTTCAAATGTAAGACACATTCTCATTTTAGATATATTAAAATGTGAGAAGACACAAATCTTAGAATCATAAAAATATATATATGGTGCACAATAGAGGAATGAATGCAAATTAATAGGTAAGAAGGAATTACTTTATACTTAGGGGTATTTCTCACAAAGTCCATAAGAATTTTAACATGGTATTCTTTGCTCCTACAGAGTAAGGTTCAGAAACACTCACTTCTGTCAAAGTATTCAGTATTACAGGTGAATTTTTTCAAAGCTACTATGGTTTAGTGTAAAACCAGTCGGTATACCATTTAAAATGAAAAGATACACTTCAACAGGGCTTCCCTGGTGGTGCAGTGGTTGAGAGTCCGCCTGCCAATGCAGGGGACATGGGTTCGTGTCCCGGTCTGGGAAGATCCCACATACCGCGGGGTGGCTGGGCCCGTGAGCCATGGCCGCTGAGCCTGCGCGTCTAGAGCCTGTGCTCCGCAATGCGAGAGGCCACAACAGTGAGAGGCCCGCATACCGCAAAAAAAAAAAGATACGCTTCAATAGCCTGATAGGATCTTTGACAAGTTTATATGTTCTCTGTTGTTCTCCAAGAACGAGTTAACATCTTTTAAGTGTTGTATATTTTAATTTTTGAGTGTTCTTGGAAATACTATTATCCCAGCTTTGTTCTGAGTAAATTTTTTGAGGAGACTCAAACAAGTTTTTTCTCAGTGCTCTAGATGTGGTTTATTGTTTATTGTTGAAAAGGAAAAAAAAAGTGGTTTCCACTCTTATCTACAAAAAAGCTATCATTTTACAGAATATGACATCATATAATCTCTTACAACCCTACTGGATATTATCTTTACAGATTAAAAACAAACAGACAAGTTCTATTACTGAAAATCACACATCTAGTACAAAGCATAACTGGGAATTGACTCAATTTTGAAATGTCAAGTTCAAAGTTCTTTTCACCACTCCAAAACCACCAACCAAGGTGAAGTTTATTTTCTCCTAGTATGTCATCTGAAGTCTTAAACTGACTAATTTTCATGTAAACAGACTAAGCGGCTGCTTTCATCTCAAAGAGCTTATTTCCTGACCCAAACTAGGACAACACAGAATCTCAGACCAGAGGAAGTCTTTCTCAGTTCAACTCTTTGGACAATACCTCTTATATCTCCTTAATCTCTGCTATCTAGGCGTTTTGCGGGGGGCCTCCTGTTGACCTTTTTGCTATTTCACACCTTTTAGAGAATATATTTCCATGTAATATCTTAAACAGAAAACTCTTCTCAGCTGGTATTGAGGTTAAAAAAAAACAGGATGGCATCTTAAGAACAATATAATTAAGTACAACTGTAAGATACATTTTAGTGTATCATTTGTAGAACATAGTGCTGAAAATCTGTAACTGACCTGTAATAGATGTAACACCAGCTCTTCATTTACAAAACTATCTTTTCTTTTTAAGACAGATGTTACAACAAACAGGGATAGCAGAAGAACCAGCAAGCCTGCACCCACTCTGTTTTAAAACACAATTCACAATTTCAAATTTTCTTAAGACATTTATAGAATATATATCACATGAAAATATTAGATATTTTACTCTAATATAGAACCTCTCAATCATTTGCTTAATCAAGATGAAGTAACAAAATGGATACACAGGTGTAAGAAGAATAAAAATCTTAGAATAAAGATCCTGTGGGGATGGTGTTATTTGTAACTTTTCACACAATTTTTTAAGTAACTTCATCTTATTTCCATAATTTGATTTTTTTGAACATTTACGCATACCATAATTCTCAGCTTGACTTGGACAAATTTACAGAAAACAATATAAAAGATAGCTAAACAAATATATCAGTATCTACACCACACATTTTCTGACTATGAGCATCTACTCATACAAAAAGGAAAATCTACATTTATAATCTACAAATTGTTCCTCTCTATCACTGACGTTGGTGCTTTTCACAGCTGTTTCTGGCTAAGGGAAGGATGGAAGAGGGGCCACAAAAGTAGCATGTGGGTGAGGCATTGGTACAGTAATGAAACAACAAATTAAACTTTTTCAAGAACACCAGATACAGTATGGTTCCTGAAATCGAAGGAGACTAACATCAAGGAAATACTGTACTATTGCTATTGAGTTCTATTTCTCACCTCCTAAAAATCCAAGTAACACAGGACGACTGAAATTATGTTGAAGATAGAATCTGGAACCCAGTAATATAATAGAACTATGTGAAAAGGAGTTGGTTTAAGAGAAATAAGAAAGAGCAAAAGGCAGGGTCATAGAGAACGTGAAGCAGGAACTCCCAGGAAAATGCTTGTTTTTGCTTTTGTTTTGATTCTTCTAATATTCTCTTTAAGAATCATGAGGGAAAAGTTAATTAAATCTTATGAAAAATAACCGTGTATGATTAAGATTCTTTGCTTTTGCCTTTTCTCCCCCATACCCTCTTAAAAAAATAATTTGGAATTTCAATTAATTGGCAAATGTTTTTACCTCAGAAAACTGGAGTAACAGGAATATTATAGCTATGTTATATAAATTTTTGCTCTTTCTTTTAATTTGTCCTTAAATATTTCACATACCTATCTTTGTAATTTTCTAAAGAAGAGAAATGAGGTGAGAGATCAAATGGAGAGCAGCAATTTCTCCATAAACCAGGAGGCAAAATGAAGAAGTTGCAAATATAGCTACTGGGAAACTTGAAGCACTGAGGAATTTAAATCAAGAGGGGAAACAACATAATTTTTAAAAATACAAATTAGATTTCTCATGGTTTAACAAGTTTGCTTCCTGAGTTAATCTTTACTGGAATAGGTAAAGTGAAAAATTTCTATGAAGACCATTTATATAATTTCTTTTCCTTTTAGCATAAGTCCTGTTCAAATATGTCAATAGTGCTTGAGCAGGACAGATGGGTAGAGGCCAATGAAAGGAGGGAAAGCGGCTTTACAGAGACAAGAGAAGAGCTCACAGAGTAGTGGGAAGCAAAAAATAAAATGTTTGAATTCATCTTTGCACATGCTGTTTACAGTTTATGACAGCTGCAAAATGTTTTCACTTAGAACTAATAAAGTATGGCTTAGATAAAATAGTCTTAGAATTCAATACAATTTTTTGAGCTCTGCTAATAAATTGACTTCCTGGAATAATTTCTGATCTAGTCCATATTGTTATTCTCACAGAAATGAGATAAAATGTATATAATTTATAGGTACTTTAAAATGAACACATACTTTAAAAAAATATTGAGTTAATTTTCCTTCAAAAGATATACCCTCATCTATTAAAGATGGGGTTAGAATGCTAAAAAGTTGGTTACACAAAGTTCAAAAGAAAGTAACAAAGATGATTACATGATTAGAAAATAAGAAAGGAAATGTTAAATGAAATAATGATCATTTAATTTGCCAAGCGCCTGCACACACACACACACACACACACACACACACACAGCCATTAGATTACATGATGATAACTTTAAAGTTAAAAACAAATGTAACCAGTTATTTTAAAGATTTGCTTGGGATATATTGAGGAGAAATAAATATAACAGCAGCATGGAGAATTCAGGTAAGGTATATAGAATTTTCTAACAGTTTAAGTGATTAAACATGAGAAAGTTGTCAAGGTACAGAGAGTTCCCTCCCATGGAGATCTTTACATTCAGATTAGAATAGAAGAGAATTTCATTTTTCTCAGACATTTAAAATGTGGACATGATCAAAGGAAAAGATAGAGATTGCATCAATCATCAGTGGCTTTTAGACCTTTTAATTTTGGCAACAGAACATTTTTTCATGTGAAACCGTTTACTGATCTCCCAATATATAAAACATACAAAGGCTTCTAGACCTTTAAAAAATTCTTGGCATTTTAAGTTATCACTGGCACAATTTCATTTTTTACAAAGGTCCAGAAGCATCTTCAGGGAGTTTTAATGCCTCTCAGAGCCTGAGCCAAAATTATGACTAATGGTTTGATATTAGTATTCTAACTTCTAGTTTGTTCACATGATTTTAAACTCATGGCCAAGACTTGGTTCATATTTCATAGTGTTGATTGAGAAAAACAATTGCATTAAAAAGAAAATAAGTTCAAATATGGTACATACACTAGAAAGATATTTGGCTTTCGTCCTACAACAGGCATAAGTGGGAACACTGCCAGGAGCAAACAGAAGAAAATCCAACTCAGTGAGGTGCTCTAAAATAAAGAAAAAAGTTATCTTTAGACAATTATGGTACAAAAACTGTCTTCAGTGTTTCACAGACTACATGGCTGTGAAACTAAAAGGAAAATTCAAAGCTTTACATCTGTTTACTTTAAAAAGTAATATAGTTACTATTGGTGAAGGATCTGTTATATAGTAGGCACTATATTAGGTATGATATATGCATTATCTCATTTAATTCTCACAATAACCTCAATAGGTAGGTTGTAATATTCACAGTATTTCAGATGAGGAAACTGAGCTCAGAGATGTCAAAGTATAAGTAGCACCAGATCTATTACTAGTAAATGAAGCAGCCAGGATTTAGACTCAGGTCTGCTGTTTCAAAGCAAGCACTTCATTCAATTTATGTTCTACCATATATTGATGACATCTTTAAGAAAGCTGGCCTGCAATCATAATCAAATGACTGTGCCCAGGAGGGAAATAAGTAAAAATACTTCTGTAATTAGATTAAGACAAAAAATTGTCAATAGTCCCATTAACTGGAAAACTTTGTAGGTTCTCATAGAGTAGAAAGAAGATATTTCTATCTTCCTGCTACCTCCACCAAAAAGTATCAAAGTGAAAACATGAGAGTATTCTTTGTAGAAGCACACTGTACTTACCTACCTAGTTAAAGGCAGAAAATCAGGAGTAATTATACTTTAAAATAATCTATCATGAATAAATACTTCTCCAGAGAAAAACTGAGGTGGCTCCAGACCAGGAGGGAGGTGACTCCTCTGACTTGAGTCCAGAGTGTGGCCTCTCATGCCACCGCACTGCTCTGGGCAGTTCCTCTGTGGCATTTAGATATTTGAGCCTAAAGGAATCTAGGAAGTGCTTCACAGAAGGACAAATCAGCTCTGCTTCTTGAGTATTTCAATCACCACAAGACCAGTTCACTTTGATATGAAAGTCTGCATGAATCACTGAAACCTTAAAGTCAACATCAGTCCTCCTGTCAAAAGGGTCAGGATCTTTATGTAAGGTCACATTCTACCCTGTTCTTAAAAAAATGAATAATTCCCTGAGTTAAACGCATATCAAAACAAAGCCGCTATGAATCTGCCTAATTTCAAAGTGAGTACTTATACCTTTGCTCGAGTCCACAGTGGAGTGATAAATGGCCAACCTGCAAATGCAATGAGTCCAGCTGTAAGCATATAGCGGTAGAAAAAACTGAGAACCTAGTAATGCAATCCAAAGAAGAAAGGGAAAATGAGGTCATTTCAAAGGAGTTACATGTGTATGAAAGAGACCTGAAAATGTGGTAACATGGTAAATTACTTACTAATACTTCAACTCCCAGGATAAAGAGTAACAGGTATCCAACAAAATGACTTGGAGGGAAGGTCAACAGTAATGTGACCAAGCCTTGAATAACTGGAAATCTGTTTAACAAGATTATTTATAAAAAGATTATTTATAACCTATATTGAATATAAAAAAATTAGTTCTCATATAGTAAAAAATAAAAATTTTGTGCATAGAAATCAAGGAATTTTCAATTCATAGATTTTTCAAAAACTAAGATAACCTCCAACAGATTTGTTTCAATGGCTTTACTTACCTAAATCTTTTTTTGATACCTAGTATTCTAGGAAAAATGTAACTTCTGAATTAAGTTGATAATGATCACATTAATTTGCTTGGCTTTTTTATAAACATTAATGACAATAAATGAGTCTTATTGGATGTTTAAACATGGGCACATACAATTACAGATACAACATCAGAAATAAAATACAATAAACCCAAATGAATAAACATAGAGAACATTTTTAAAATTCACTAAAGCTAATTTTATATTGAAATCTCAACTGTCTTAATAAAATAAAGGTCCGTTTTCCTAGTCTAGGTAGAGAAAATCTTAATTGCACTTTTTCACTGGGTGAAATAACCTTTTCCAAACTCAATTTAAGATGTCACTAATTGTAATTAAATGTGAATTCATAACCATTAAAAATGTATTACATACTTGAGTCCTTTTTACATTTCATCACTGGAAAAATTTTTTTAGCATTGGTAGTTCATTATTAAGTAGGCAATTATAAAAAGTCAGTATCACTTGGTTTATAACCTTTTTCTGATTGAAAACAATGGTTACATAATGTCATCAAAACGATTAAGGTGCCATGTTAGGAAAGAAAAGCTAACTAGTCTAAAGGAGAATGTTTCTTTTGTTCCCAACAGTGATGATTTTGTAAAATCATCTAGATTATTTCTAGAAGAAAAATGAATTTTTATGTTTTATTTTCTTTATAATCTATCAAAAAGATAAAGATAGAACACAACATATTTTCAAAATCACTCTGTCCTTAAAATTTTAATGTATATGTGTTCTTCATAAATAGAACATTTAATAATTCAGGAGGGAATTTTGGATAACACCTTTCATTCTAAAAAGTTTTAAGCCAGAGCAAATGACATTAGGAATAAATCCAATTTAAATATGTACATCCAGCAACCCTATTTCTTTCAAATGGAGAAGTAACAGTCTGTTCTTTTGTCAGTGTCTTTTTGCCTTGTTTTTAAAAATGTTAACATTTAAAATATTTTAATATTAATTTTTATTTTTCATATTTAGAAGAGGTGGTCAAAGCTGGAGGTAACAAAAATTAGAAAAGAAAACACATTGTGTCATTGCAACATGCTCGCCAACCCTGACAACACCCTTATTCTGGGCTGTCATTCCCTGGTCTGCTTTCGGCATCTGGTTTGCTCAAAGGATGCCCAAGAATAAGTTTAAATTTAGATTACTGGTGCAAATATAGAAATCAACACGATCTGTAACATGACCCTCGCTGCCTGTGAACATGAACCAGCCCAACATTTTAGTGATTTTCTTTTAAAGTTTATAACTTGCAATGAGAGCTCTACCTCTAATCTTTCCTACAATGATAAGAATCCATTTCAAATCCAACTTGTGAGCAAGCACTTAAAGGTAGAACCACAGCATACAAGAATAATCTCCCCTAACCCCTGTAGGTATACATTACTAGATTGGATTTAATTGCGAACTTTCATTCATCTAGGTTTACATGATAGCTGGGAAAGGAGGGGCAAAAATGTATGGAACAAAAGCAGGCAAATTGCTTTGTGAAACATGAAGATACACTGGAAACTGGGATGATGAGACAAATTCAAAACCTAAGTCACTCCTGACATAGTACAATCCATATTAATTACTTAATTTTTACTCCAGATTTTTCTTATAAAAGATAACACAAAGAAGGGAATGAGGCCAGTGCTACCTCAGGGCAATCAAGATGAAGTCAAAAGGGAAAAGCAAAATAAAAATGATGTTTAGGGAATTCCCTGGAGGTACAGTGGTTAGGACTCTGCACTTTCACTGTCGAGGGCCCGGGTTCAATCCTGGGATGGAGAACTAAGATTCTGCAGGCCTCAAGGTGCAGCCAAGAAAAAAGAAAGCCTGTTTATATGCAATGTTTATGCTGTTATGAATGAAATGAAAGGGCTTGGAGATTTGAGGGTATTATAATTATCTTTCATATACTACAGAAATCTAATGCATTTAAATACAGATTTAACTGTCAGTGAAATGAAAAACAAGACCACAAGATGTGTTACTTACTCTCTCAGAACCGCATACCATACTGGCAGTGGCAACAAGCAATATATGTAGTAAGTCCAGGGACAGGCTTGAAT